TATATGCATTACTAGACATCATGGAGCCTTCTGGATATCCGCCTCTCTGAGGCCTATTCGTCATCAATGATTGCGTTTTACCCTCAGACTGCTCTATTCTAGGGGTGGGATGCAATATACTGGCAAACTTGATAATAGCTTGATTGACACTATCTTTTACCAGTTTCAGGATATCATCAAACTTTGGCTCGATACCCTCATCCTCCATACGGGAGCTTATCTTCACCCACTTCCTTTGCAGTCGAGTAGGTAGGCGTCTTGCTATTACTTCTAGGACTAAACTCGAGTTGAGGTCACTCATGCAATTCATAGAAATCAAGGTATTCTTATAAGTCATGAGATTATCTAAAAACTCAGTAAGTGCCTTGGAGTCATCTTGAAGTTGACTGCCGTTACCTTTGACAGCTTCGTATACGTTCCTTACAATCATTGAAGGTCTTCCAAACCTTTGACGTAATATGCCCATAGCCTCAGCGTATCCCTCATTAGGGGGCATGAGCTTACAGCACTGTATAGCTCTTGAAGCATCTCCAGTGCAATACCTCATCAAATACATCAATTTCAATTCATCACTTAATAGAAAACTACTCAGCATGATCTCAAACTCCTTTACAAATTGTAAATAATCAGCCGGGTTTCCATCGAAACGCCGTGGTTCAAATTTAGGCAGTTTGATGTTCCTATTATCCCTGAACAGCGAAACAGTAACATCAACCATATCATGCTTAACATCAGACACATCGTTACAATTAACAGACAAGTCACCATGACTTACTTTCCTGTTTGCATCCAAGACACTCTGTCTCTTCTTTGACCCAGGCATTGTTGAACTTGACCCAATTCCAAAAACGTTCCAGATATTGCTTGTTCAAAGAGGACTTGACCGGCACCAGGAAAAATGAACGGCGACTATCCAAACTTTCACCAACCGTTTGAATCCGTCAGAGTCTGTTTCTACCGTCAGAAACTGTCTTCGTCGTCAGAAACTGTCAGCCTTGTCTCGTAAACCGTTATTGCCCAGCTCTTGCTACGCTCGGGCCCACGCTGTTCCTTGCAGTTTTTCAGAAACGCTTAGTATTAACGGACGAAAAACCAAAACACCGATTGCTTACTCGAGAATTCTTTATTGTTACACCAACATATAAAAATAATGTTTTTACTAGGGTCTGTGAACAAATATTACAATAATAAATCACGAGATTACTTCTGATGGTTTGCTACTGACTTCTTTCTGAACAGTGACCGTTGAGACGATGACTGTCGTATTGATTCCTCCGCGAAAATTGGGGAAGTTGGTTTTGAGCAAACAACCATGAATTGATCGTTCAATCTTCAACTGCATTGACATATGGTTTCGATAGAGCATCTCCACTTTGTCCTACTTCTTCCTGTCCGCTTCAGCTGGGTCTACGATTCACAATAATCTATCGTCTCCGAATCCCCACATGATCATGTTATCTCAGGACGACCAACTCGTCGCTCCCTATAGGGAATCTAATCAAGCGATGGCCTGCATTGTGAGCTATGTGATTCTATGGCCTCCTCAGTCTAAGCCAGATCCACCTACACTCTCGTATATGTTGAGCGGTCGGTTCTTGTTTGGCGTGATTCGAGAGTTTCTTGGGGATAATTATTTCCGACCAGTTGGCCACTTTATCTTCAATATATAACCATCAAAACCAGGTGTTGATAAAAGTCTGAAACGTGATGAATATCGTTCTTGTGACGCGCCCGCCAAGTTTCTGACCCTTATAACACGGATGACTGACTTCACACATGTTTTGAAAATCCAAATCTTGATTTTCATGCTGAGTGGAAGAAGAGGATTTACAAACTGATTTCAAGTTCATAAAGCCCTCCTTTCTGATTCTCGTTGGTGTTGGCATCTTCATTAGTGTTGTGGTTGGAACGATGCTGGCTGGCTATATAGATAAGTGAAGACAGTAACTCCTGTCAAATCCCTCCCGTTGATGATGATTGGCGCCGGTTGTAGTTGCTGCTGTTGGCCGGTGGGTGTCTTCACCACTTACATGTTCTCTATGTTCACCCGAAGTCATCTCTTTGCTACCAGCCAGCCAGCCTCTTCAGCCAGTTTGTTGATTTTCGACTGTAAGTCTCCGGGTTAGTGTGACACTAAACATAAATCACTGGTGAAGTCCAGATCTTCTGGAGTCTTCTTGTCGGTGGTCCAACGCATTCTTATCCTCTGGCTCCCAAGCGCAGTCTTCTGCCTAATGCAGTCAACCACAGATAGGAATATCACTGGTGAATATAATCATTTTGACTACCATTCTGTACCTTGTTTGATGATGATGGTGATAAGGCGGAAAGTTGCCGTTTGATCAGTACGTAATTCGTCGATTCTGAATCCAGCTTTTTCTGGATGGTGAGGCTGAGTTCCGCATTTAGCGCACCTTTTATTTTCTCCAGGGTGACGTGGCTTAGCATTTCACTTTGCGTAGGCAACAGTGTGATTCCACGCCAGTTTTCGCATATGTGTAAGTTACCCTTCTTCGGCAGCTTGACAAAGTAACCTTTCTTCCGATCAGTAGGCACATTTCCTCCTCTCCAAATCTTTCGCAATAATGGCGTGAGCATACCTGCCGTAGTCTCTGGGTCCGTTCTCAGTGCTTCGGGGTCCGGGGAATTCCGTGTGATCCCGCTTTCTTCCCGGTTGTTCTCCAGTAGACTGACCGCATTCAAGATTTTGCCTTCGTTGGAGGATTAGTATCCACTGTTATGTTGACCCGATCCTCAATATTATTTGTCTTTGTCACTGTTTAATTTCCAATTTTAGTGCTTCTCTTTGTGGTTGTGTGGTAATATTGTTAGTATATTTTTGTACAGTGTGAGTTTGTTCGAGTGAATAGAGGTCGTTCAAGTCTCAAATTGTCTGCAGGAAAAGTTGGTGTGTCATTTCAGTGGACACAAGTTTTGGCTCCACGTTGTTGACGATATTCTACTAGATTCTTAGTGCTTGTTTTGTCTTCTGCTTTCGAAGGTTCTACATCGCAACACTGCAAATGTACGGTAATGCTGCTTCCTGAGTTTGTATTACTTGAAGGGAGTTTTGTAGTCACTAGAACCTACATTTGGTAGATATTCAGAGTGTTATTAGCACGTATGCAGAATAACGGAACAGCCTCCATCATGAAATCGGTTTATCATCGCAAACTTGGTCCCTTGTATCTGCTAATACCAAAATAATGCTGTTATTACCGTCTACTATGGAGTTTTATAAATTTTCAAACCCTTTATAACTGATTAACTGATAATTATTGTAAGTTCTGCATCCTGTGTGTCTCATACTACCATCTGTGTATCATCTTTCTTCCTACATTCCAATAACTCAGCGTTTTGTAATCCCCGCGTGAAGTTCACTGAGTACATATATATTAAAATATAGACTTAAACGACCATCTTATAACTTATTCGATTGAGAGTAAACATTACAAACGTCCTACAAAGTTTCTAGAATTTCTTCGATTTTTTAAATTTTTATGTCATGAAACAGTGTTCAATCTAAAATTTTACTTGTCAGATATGGTCATGCCTGTGGCAGCCTGTAGACGGCCGTAGGTCGTTTGATCAGATGATGGATATTGGCGTTATTTTTGGAAGAGACATCAAGGTTAGGTCATTTTTCGTTGTTTTACCCACTTTTTTTTACATATATATAGGAATATATATATATATAAACTAAAGTAAGGCAAACTGGGCCTTAGTTGAATCGATGCTAAGATCCTCCGAATGGGATGAATACTTCACTACTGATGACCTATCGAGAGCCCTAACCATCTTCTACCATAACTCAAACACATGCTTAGATGCTGTCATTCCACTCCAAACACTAAAGGTTTCCCCACACAGAAAGTCATTCATAAAACCAAAGGATCGTATGAAACTGAAGAAACTCTCAACAAGTTACTTCAAACACCACGACTTTGGCACTCTAGGTCTAATACTTAACACCCTTAGCTCCATCCCACAAGCTCGAGATTTCCGTATGAGAAAGGAAGAACGCATCGCAGTAGCCAGTCCTGCTAGAGTGTATGCACTCACAGAAATCTTAAGGAAGCGAATGAATCGCAAAAATCACAGCATTTCTCTCCTCATAGACAAAGGTAGGCTATGCACTAACTCTGCAGACATATGTGAACTATTCAACAAAACGTTTGCAGGTAACTACCTTAAGCCCTCAGTCCAGCTACTCGATATACACCCTATTACTAATATGGCACAAACTCCATCACCACTCACACCAAACCAAATTAGCACTGTTGAATTCACTTACGCTAATATTAACCAAACTATAAGAACCCTCAAAAGTTCAAAAGGTTTCGGTACCGACGGTATATCATCTTACTTCTATAAATATGGTGGCCCTGACATTCCTCTACTGCTGCTTAAAATATTCACAATGTCCCTAGAAACCCAAACTTACCCTGACATATGGAAGACTACATTCATTATGCCTAAACACAAATCTGGCTCGAAAACTGAAGTCAGTAACTACCGGCCGATCAATATCACACCTATAGCATCTAGAATTATGGAGAGACTAGTCAAAGATAACTTAATCAAACATATGCTTAGCTGCAATATTATAAGTCCGAACCAACATGGATTCCTGAAATCCAGATCATGTTTAACATGTCACCTAGACTTCTTCAATTTTGTAACCAGCAGTCGTGACAGACGGCAACTAGTACTTGTCATCTACTTTGACATTTCTAAGGCATTTGACCGTGTTGACCATTTACTGCTAACAAATAAGCTGAACTCCTTAGGAATACGTGACCCATTATTAGGATGGCTTAAATCATTCCTTAACAATAGGTCCCAAATAGTTAAACTCGGGTCTGCAACCTCCAAACCTAGCCCTATCACTTCTGGTGTAGTACAAGGTAGTGTCATTGGACCCCTCCTATTTACACTATACATCAATGACATATGCGCTTGCTTCACGCACGGGAAACCATTCATCTTTGCAGATGACCTAAAAGTAGCTTATACATTCCAACGTGATGACTTAGGGAACTTCGAGAATGTAGTGCAGAAGGAATTAGATAAAATGACTGCTTGGTCGTCCCTATGGAATCTCCAATTTAATCTGAACAAATGTGGCTGGATCTGCTTCGGTGCACCCTCAATTGACCTGAAATTAACGCTCCAATCTGCTAACCTAACCAGACTCCGAAGTGTCGTTGACCTAGGCCTGAGGTACTCTAGTGACTTGACATTCTCAGAGCAAGTAGCATCACAGACTAGAAAATCGAGGATGCTCTTAGGATGCATACTCAGGAACTTTCACGACAATGAAGCCAAGCTAATTCTGTACAAAACATGTGTCAGACCACTACTAGAATACTGTCCATTTATTATAAGCAGCACTCGCACACGTGACAAGCTAAGGATGGAAAGTATCCAACGATATTTTACCTCAAAACTACTTGGCTACGATTGTAAGAAAGACTACATCTCACGGTGCATGATCCTAAAACTTGACCCACTTTGGACAAGGCGACTTATTATAAACCTAATATTCTTCTTTAAGGTCCTTCACAAAATATCATTCTCAGGTAACAGGGACATACAATTCGCACAGGAAGGTTCTTACGATCTGCGTAACCAAACTTCCACAGTGACAACTCATTCTTTTAAGTCAACACTCCGTGAAAACTTCTTCACAGTCATGTATTCTAAAATATGGAATAGCCTGCCTATAGATATCAGAACTTGCTCTTCGGTTACAAGCTTCAAACGCTCTCTATACAGACTGTTTCACTCTACTGATTATATTAATAAACTATTTACTCCTAGAACGAATCAATCACTAATCTACTACAGCACCTAAAAGACGCACTTCAACACCCTTAGCAATCTATAAAATATAAATAAACTAGCAGCATGGATGCATAAAGACTTAGTACGGAACATACAGGATTAGTTTACCCTTAGAAATAGGACGTGTCACTCTATTGTAACCTTCAAACGCTTGCTATATAAACTGTTTTGTCCCAATGACTATCCCTACCAGAACCCATCACTTATTTCTAAAACGCATCAGTCATTAGAACGCTAAAACGCTCAGACTCATTAATACACATTATGACACTAAATAAACTCTAAGACTTCGCATAAATACGTGAAAACACAACTAAAACGTAAAGTTTTACTAATGTATCATAAACAATTTACTTAAACATTTATAAGTGCATAAAATATTAATGTCCTTTTCATTTTCACATACTTTCTCTTTCTGGTATTCTGCTGCTCCTATTCATCTTCTGGTCGAGGTCGAAAAACCCTGCATCTAAACTGAAATGAGGATTAATTCCAAACCACCTATCTCATAACCACTCAAATTCCATGAACGATCCAATTCTACCATTTGAAGACGCTGGCGAACATGCTGTAAATGAGTATTCATGATCTGAAATGAAGAAGCAACTGGTTTTCAAACAGTTTTCAACATTTTACTCAACTTACGAATACAGTCCGCCATGCAGACACAAATGGAGAATTCTGGAATCGACCTCGGCACCATTTGATGCAGTAAAACAACTTAACATGACCTCATCTAGTTTTCGCATCCACGATCAAATTTCTTTCCTGTTATAAAACTACGATAAGACTGCTGAAAAAGTGGAATAAATATATCACTGATCTCAACATAATACATCAATAAACTTTAAGCCAATGGTGCTGTTCACAACAAAGTTATGTAGGAGAATTGACTTCAAGCTTTTTTTCCCAGATATCCGTATTACATTCATCTGATGTCTGGGTTTTTTTAATGCGAAGACAATATTTCTATATTTCTTTATTTGTTGCACAAACAGACTTTATAGCAGACTGTTCCGATGGACTCTAATGTCAGAAAGAATAAACACACTGTAAATTCATCACACCAAATTATGTGTAATTTATATGATAACTTATCCATGCCTGTACGATTGGTATGTTCCTGCAAAAACAGAAAGAAATATATTATTATTCCAGCTTAAAGTTGATGAAATACGGCGTATTTAGCAGAAATAGGCAATGTGGTGTCCTTATCCGGCCATAGCTTACAGGCAGTTTGCAGTTTGTTGAAAAAACGTGTTTTCCATTCAGTATATGTCGAATTACTTGAAGACATGTTACAACGACCATTTCGTGAATTATTTTGCATTTTGATGTATTACACATTGACATGATGAGGTGGGATAGCTCGTTTTAGTAATTATTTCATTTACTTTGTTGTGTACTTTTCCTAATGCTGACAAGGCTCCTCCACATGTTTTCTTTAAGAAAAATCTGCAAAAATACTTAGAAATTATGTGCGCATAGTATTTGCTTATTTTGTGGCATAAACTTGACGTTTGGTGTTCGCCTGATTTTGTGCGTCGGTGGCACAGTGGTTAGGACTCTCGTCAACCATGCACATGGTCCGAGGTTCGAGCCCTCGCCGACGCACACCTGATATCTATGGTCGGCCTGCAAAATTTGGGCTACCGATATCCACGCTGAAAATTCCACACTTGTACCAAAAATACAGTGTGGAATCAAGCTGTAATCAAAAATAAATAATAATAAATAAAATAGTTTGCAGGCAGATGCAATATCGATTTTGTATTATTGAAAAATGTTTACTGACGTAGTTATATACAATTCAACTAATTATTACGTCATTTTAAATATATTTAACGGTTAATTATTGTGTTTACACTGATAACAATGTCTACATCTGTATAATTCTTATGTTCTTTTTCAGATAATATCTACTTTCGGGAATTTCATGGATTTGGGTGATAAAGAAAAAGATGCCTGCACTGTTGTTGATTTTGTATTACATGTTAATTCATTAATAAATGTATTCCTCGTTATTCGTTTGTTTATTCTACTTGATAAGACCGAATATTAGCCCTTGCGTAATTTGTGAGGTATAGAGTTTATGAGGCTATCTTTGAAATACTAAGTAGGAGCAGATGTTAGGAGAAGCCTATTGGTAAAAGATTATGTTGTAGTCAAATAAAGTAAATATGTCTAAGTCGTAGAGGAGGTCTTGCGATTATAAAGCGTTTCGAGTTATATGTCGTCATAGCAGAATACGTAAACTGATTCCCGATTCATAGTCACCAATTGAGAATAAATCCACCTGGGATAGTTTGCTTGTGATTTCTGCATGTCGCAATGTACCATAAGGAGAGACTATACCTATGCTGTTAGATGTATAACTCAGTGCAACTACGGTTATCGTAATAATTAAAAACAGAATGCCTAGGGTTCTCAGCCACGGGACACGATACGTTGCTATCTGCTCATATAATCACGTAAACAAAAGTTTTCCAGACGCCGCATTTACTCCTAACAGTTTACCTTCAACTTCTAACTTAGCACGTGCTACATATGCTACTGGAACACAATCGCATTACAACAGAAGGAAGACAGATTCGTTGAAAAATTGTTTATTAAACAAAAATTAGATTTCAAATGTACAGATAGTTCAGATGAGTAGTTCTCTGTTACGGTCAGTAAGTTCCATCTGCGTACACGGCACATATATGTTTTTCCATAAGTCTGAAAAGGTTTAAGAAAAGCATAATTAACTTGGGTATTACATGCATGATCTGAATAAAAAAATTTTCCTGATAAGCATTTACAAGTGATCACTTTACAAACAATATATATATATATATATATAAGTAGCCCAATAGTTTTCACTAAACTTAAGGGACTTCGCAACCTATCGTTGGTCGATATCCAGTAGGTCCATCGAAGCATCATGAAATGATAAAATTATTAACAACAAGTTATGCAGTAGTTTTCAAAGCTTGTACAAATATTTTAGCAAAAATGACAACCACTTTATGACAAATAATAGGTCTTGACAGCAATGATAATAACATTCATGTTCATAGTAACTATAAAAACAATAATAGGTATTATTATCGCAACGAATTCATCATCAACTTAGATAGACAACTAGTAATAATACAATCATTTCAAATAAATGTATCACTTAATCTTAAGAAGCATGTGTTTACTTACTTTCACTGTATTCTCTCAATACTGATGTGCTCAACAAGCTTATTCCAACTGAATTCAAGATTAATTCTGAAAGTGAGTGGAGATCCAGCTTATGTCAAATAAAAACATATAGGTTACATGTATTACACTGCTTACTGAGACATCTGATACCTGCTTTCCGATCTTCGTGACAAGAACACAGTCTATCTAGGTTAATGTACATATACATGAGTATATGTATATGCTACATCAACCACGCCATTTTTACCATGATTAGCCAGACCACTGTGTATATCATACTTACTTAAGGATCTCTGAAAATAATGGTGAAGTGATAATTGAAGTTGCGTGAAGTTATTACCTCTTCAGAACATTCCATTATGGGTAAATTTTGTTTTGATAAAGTCTCACAGTGTTATACAGTAATGTTATACAGTAAACATTACTGTATAAAACTGTGAGACTTTATCAAAACAAAATTTACCCATAATGGAATTACACTCTACCAGAGTGCACAAGTTTTATTCTTATGTCTTCAGAACATTGTTTGCATTCTTGACACCCCTAAGAATTCCTTAGATCTTAATTTGGCATGAATTCGTTGAATTCAGCAAATAAATCCACTGGTATATCATTTCTCTCCTGAGCTGGGTGACTAAAGAATAGCGGACCAAACCGAAACGACCTTTCAACGCAAAAATGACCCTGACAGGGACAACTTCGACCAGTGAGAAGGCTCAAAATGAAAGGCGCATAATTGTAAAAAACCGTTTATATAAAAGTAATGCAATCCTAATAAACAGTTACAAAGGATAACTTTCACGTATATGTTGCAGTAAAACCTCCCAGTTTCTCATAGGAGTCTTCATTGTCATATTAAACCAGTTTCGGTACATAAATTCATCCAGATAACTGTAAATCATGGGATTTCTTGATCCATTAACCGCTCTAATCCGTCTTTCTAGACGACTTCACAAACTTTCGATGGAATTAGTGTGGGTTCCATCCAAAGGATTCCGGAAACCGTCCGTGTGATTGACAACATGGTGAATGTACTCATGATTCGATAATTGACGGTAGACGCTCCATTTATCTGTGTGAATAGTCGTCCCAGGCAGCACCAGACGCTGAATAATAGGCAAAAATACAGCTGCACTGCGATTGGGAATCGCCTCTATATACCCTTTTCGCAGTCTTGTGTCGTAGATACCCAATATCCAGGAGGAAACGTCTCTGCAGTAATTGTACCATTGTACTGCTGACACCTCTGAATTTTCTGTTTCATAAGCTGTAGCTGTAATTGGTCTTTTCAGGATCCAGAAGTTACAGATCATTAAAATTTTCGTCAAATGTAGTTTAGACCTAAAAAAAGGTTCCTAAGAGATCTGTAAATAAAAAACAGCGACAAACCTTCTCAAACCGATTTCCTCCTTCGGCACTCAATACATCTGTAGACAAAGCCATCAATGACCTCTGTGTATTTTTGTATGTGCATAACTCCTCCGCATTGGCAAATTTTAGACCTAGCTATCAGTCCGTTATCCAAACAGTAATCGAAAACATGATCCGGAGCGAATTTGCAACGCATAAGTGTGGTGGACCTTTCACTCGGTTAGCTCAGTTACCCAAATTCAAATAGGAAATAAAGTACCAAATCAGTTTAGTTACGGGAAGAATGTATTAAAGTTTGGTTACTTGGGTTTACAAAGATCCAAAGTCCACAATAAACGTTATAGACTCCGGGTGCTGCGGGAAGACTGCTCTAGTACTAATTCTCCAATGTTGACGTTGCCGGAGGTCGACCAAAGTACGTAGGAAGAACTACGGTGCTCCTGCAAAAATTTGAGATAGAAAGCAGGCGATTAAAATTGATCGACGGCAGTTGAGATGGTGGAGAAGACGAAGAGTCGAAGGCAGAACTATATATTTATTCAAAACCCGAGGTAAAGTTCAAAGTACAGAGTTTATGGTTAAAAAAAGTGGTGTACAATATGTTCATTATTTACATAGTAGTAAAATTTGGATAAGTTTATTTTTTAGGACTCCACATAAGGTGTAAAGCATCCATGATTACTTCTGCAAATGATACAGTCAGATGATTCCTTGCTCAAGGTCACTTTTTTGTTCAAAGGTCGTTTCGGTTTGGGCCGCTATTCTTTAGAGTCGCTCTGAGCTGTAATAGTTTGTGTTGTCAGTTATCTCTCAAATTTGATAAAACGCTCCCGGAAATTCAGAACTTAACCAAGCAGCAAAATGATGTTTGAAATCACCTCAACTCGAATGACAAACTGGCTAATCACGAGCGAGCGAATCGCTTGTTTATCTCATTCGCGGTCACTGAAAATTATGGCCGTCTACAGGCTGCCTCATGTCTGTACAAACGGTATTTCAGTCATGTAATTTAGATGCTTTATGTACCAGAGAGTCATCTAGGCTGTAAAGCTGAATAACGGCAATTGTCAATGTAGTTGAAGATTGAACGATCAATTCATGGTTGTTTGCTCAAACCAACTCCATATTTTACGCGGGATTCATCAATACGGCAGTTATCGTCTCATCGTTCGCTGTTATTTGGAAGAGAGAAAAACTATCAGTAATTTTGTGTACAATAACCTAATGCTTGACTCTGTATTGGTGCAAGAATAAAGGATTCTCGAGTCGCCAATCTGTGTTCTGGTTTTTTGCGTTGGTTATTACGCATAGTTGCTGAAAGTCTTCCAAGGACATTGTGAAGTCCAGTGTAGTTAGACCTGGACATTGTCAGTTTCTGATAATTCAACGGGAAATATTCGTCTTATTTGTTGTCAATTCGTCTTTCCCCGCATCTGCCCGTCTTCTTTGGACAAGTGTTATCGGCAGCTTTCCTGGATTGTTTCGTCATGTTCAGTAATGCCTGGGTCAAAGAAAGGACAAAGCACTTTGGAAGTAGACAGGAGTTGTCTGTTATATGTAATGAAGTGTAACAATGTAGTTGAAGATTTAACGATCAATTCATGGTTGTTTGCTCAAACCAACTCCATATTTTTCGCGAAAGTCATCAATACGGCAGTCATCGTCTCATCGTTCGCTGTTCAGTGGAAGACAGAAAACTATCAGAAGTATTATCGTGATTTACTGTTATAACATTTATTCTTAGACCATGTGTATAATAACCTTATTGTCGGTTACATATTAGCGTAAGAATAAAGGAT